CAGTGAGGATTCGCTGGTGGTCACCCACCCAACTACTAACTCACCGGCGTGTGGCTTAAGTACGGCTGAGCGGACGGGAAGCCCTGTTTTCCACACCCTATGGTCGTATGTACCAGGTTACGTGTGGGAGAGGATTATCACACGGACTCTTCATGTGTGGTGAGATGTGAGTTCAAAGAAAGCGCATGAAAAGGGCCCAATAGAACAACGCACACCCATTGAAGATGAATATCCTTACGATCGACTGAATGGCTGTGAAGTAGCGTACAGAGAGTTTATCACGGGACGTATGAGATAGGAAAGTCTCCAATAAAGTAAATGCGAATCCTAGTTCGAACACTGGATAATATAAGGAATGAACTTAGGCTATGAAGTAGGTATACAGGCCAATTGTCTTATCGGATATCCATTGTTGGCCTCACTAGTCGTCTCTACTGGCTCTGACTCCAAATTCTATTCCCTCAACTCCTATCTGTCTTCGTTGCGCGCCGACCGATGAAGCCAGCATCAACATCCCGAACAAAGCTTTAGCTGGATGCATTCCTCGTTCTAGTTCTGCGTACTGTCTGAAGAACGAATCCGTATCGCATGTGTTTGGAATCCTAACGCTATGAACTAGGACTCTTCCAGTCTCGCTATCCCTGTCTGACAATAAGAACGATGCGCCACTTGATTGGGGCATGCTAGATTCAGATGAAAATGGTTGATTGTCTGAGGCAAAGGGGACTTTGGTTGGCCGATGGAGACTAGGGCGAAGATCATTGCCTGAAGTTTGAGGGGCCCGTCTATCAGAAGTAAATGGCAGCGTGTGAGTTGCACCTCCTATAGCTTGCTCCCCGACGAAATCTAGGAGGACTTGATGGCACATCATCTGTAACAGACGATGGGGTTGAGGGCAGCCTGGCATTGCCCTCAGCTGTAGAGCCGGTAGGGATAGGGCGAGGTCGTGGTGGGGTCGAGTGGTCACTATTCGCGCACGCCTCTTTTGCCTTGGACCAAAGGTATTCAGTACAGGCTCTGTGTTAACAGCTGTATCCGCTGTTTCTCTCGGCTGAGAACTCCTGAAGTCCGATGAAAGCTCTTGAAGAGATTGAGCGTTTCTTGACGGCCGTGGTTCCGCCTCTTCTTCTCGTAAAAACTGCGCTAGCACGGGCTCTTTATCGGCCAGGACGGATCCAAACCGTGTATGAAACATTTGGGCGTAGTGCTGTACCTGGATTTGAGCCTCTTCGTGAAATCGCCTGGTACATCCCTCGCCTATCTACATATGTACTCAGCTCTCTACTCAACTGCCCGCTGACTAATCGGCTAAAGTGCCGTCTGGTTTACTCAAATATCAAGCACAATTAGGGGGCGTTTACAAGGGCGCCTACGAAGGTCGTGGGAAAAAGTACTTTCGTATCTGTCGAAGTGACGTACCCGCGTCCTACGATAATCCAATCCCCTTCGCTCACCACTATCCCTCGTCTATCGCCCTACACTTCTTCAATGTCACTGCTGCGATGAATATGACACCCACAGTGGACCAGCAGCCTCTGAGCATGGCAAAACCACAGCAAAAATCCACCACGGCCAGAGCGAAAGCGACTGGATCGCCCGTCCCATTGATCCACATCTCGGCCTTCCCGTAACGCGAGAAAATGGGCGGTCCTCCAGACCTCTACTGGTGGACGAACCGTCAAGAAATTTGCGAGTCTACGCACAAAATACGAAATGGGGGTCGTTTGCGAGGTTAGTCACCTCCTGGCTCATTCTTTCACCCGTCTGAATTAATCCCTGATGATCTTCCTCTAGTTTCATCCTGACAGCTTTGCCGTGCTGCGTCTTCAATACTCTGTCCTGTTCATAATGTCTCAGATCCCTCCCCAATTGGCCACCCTCGGATCATAAGCGCCGATTTCAAGTCTGGTGTCCTTGTGCTGGGCTCGCCGAAGGTCCGCTGGACACCACTTTGGCAGCGCGTCAACGAGCCAGTTTTTGATCTCGATTCATTACTTCAGATGAAACGAGAATTGCTTGACTACGTCCGATTATTGTATGTCAAAGTTGTTGAATCTAAAGTCAAGCCGAACAATCTGTTTCCTATCAGAAAATCGGCCGGCGGCTGGCTACTATATTTGGGTGGGTGAATGGAGACGTATCTCTGTTCGATGCCAGATCGAATCCGATCAGTTGAGTGGAAGGCGCAAGAGAAAGAACAGTTGAATGAGGTAGAGCGGATGTTTACTGAACTCTGTGCTCGTGTGAATGAAAGGGATAAAGCGACATGCAATGTGGTCAAACACAACCAAAGATGAGGAAACTCTTTAAACGATCAATTAATGCAATTGAAATGCCTTTGATGTAATGGGATCGACAGACCACTCGTGGGTGGACATAAATAACATTTGAAGATGGCAGTAATATCCCAAGCCTAGAAGCTTTAAAGTGGAGACCTGTTCTCGGGAAGGACCCACCTTCTTATTTTGGTTGATCATAACCTCCAGGGCTGCTTCGCCAAGTCTAGAAAAAGAGTCATGGATTCCTCACAGTCGGTGTCGCCTATGTATGTGCAGCGGCATACACAAAGTCCCAGATTTTGAAGCCATCTGCTTAGAGAAGCCCCTCTAAGTTGTCTGCTTGCTTGCTGCTTGTTTCTATAGTGGGATCTCGTTTCGAGGGTTGTTTGGGATACGAGTTGTCTTGTGGGCTGGGGTCCGGGTACGCAGCTCAATTCATTGTGGTTAAGAAGGGAATTCCTGTTAGGAAAGGCTGTGTATGGACTTCGCGTAATATGAAAGGCAGGTCCATTGGTTTTAGCCTTAGTAGGGACGCTACTGTGGATGGAAAAGCACACATGGATCCTTGGCGGATGCCTGATTTGGGGGACCCAACTAAAAAGAGGTCAGGCGGGCCCGCCTAGTATGTGGTCACTTCAACAATATGTATTGCCGATCTCCGAGATGGACGATTTCGAGAGTATTTGGGAGACAATTCTAGAGGCAGTTTGGTCAGCTTCTAGCAAACGTGTCTGCTCTTTTGTCTCTTGGATGCGCAGAGTTCGCTGAGCTCCGCGGTCGTCCTCCTTATCTTTATGATTTAGGCTTTCGAGTTCGTTTTTACGCTAAAGAGTCTCGTCTTGCTTTCTCTTCGTGAGTGATGTGCTCCTAGATAGTAGTCTTAAGGAATTGCAGTTATTTTTCTATCTTGCCCAGCCAGATTTCCGTCACAATCCTTTAATCTCTTGATTAGCACCTCTTCTCTAGTAGTCAGATCACGTATAGCTAGGCGCTATCGATTGCGAACTAGACGATAGCTTAATAGGAATAGACCTATATCCTAATGGTCCGGATCTTTTCTTTATTCTATAAGCTGACCGATAGTTGATCCCTAAGAGAAAGTTTCGTAGTGCTAGAATGTTTCGTCCACTGCTTAAGCTTCTTTGAAATGTCCGCGTATACCTGCCCACATCTATTCACAGCTTTAGTAACACTAGTCTTCTCTAGATCCCCTTTTGCTACAATGTATGTCTTATCATCAAAGATCTAGAGATTCTTAAGGGTAGAGAGCGGAAGCTTCTAAGTCAAGTATCACGTCTTGTATAACATCTTTCGCTTTATTAAGGCCGTTAATAAAATCGCGAAGGTTACTGATGCTAGATATAGGGAATCTTGTGATGCCAAGAGCACCGACGGTAAGGCTCAAGGGATCTATATGTCCTAGAAATGAATAGCAAATTAGTGAGACGCATCAGATTAAATCAAATGCCGGGTACCTCTATCACGTTCTGCAGCATCAGCCGGGAACGTGAAGGCGACCACTATCGCTTGGGCGGCTCAAAACAAAATGGTGACCTGCGGCCACGGTGCCGCCAAGACGTATGAGGGCATTTGCAAAGAAACTTCCACACACCGGTTTGTATCCTGTATAGTTAAATCATGAATTCCTACGGCCATGGTATCCATGGACGTAACGAGGCTGAGTCAAGGTTTTGCTTCTTAGACTTCAAGGATAATCACGCTGAGGTTCACGGCGGACGATTGTAGTTGGTCGGCCGAATTTTGAACCGCCGCATGATTGCTTCAACCGTGCTTCGCCGATTGCGGCTACAGATTGCATTTTACAGTATCATAACAGCTCCAATTCGGTGTCCGGGATTTTAGTCCGTGGGAGATCTATTGGCTTTTTGGCGGATGGAACCCCAGTCTTACGTTGTCGCTTAATATAAAAGCAGCTTGATACCAATACACTTCACTCCAAATTGATACTAACTTCATATCAACGGCTGCATCATCTGATCGGATTCCACTCTCTTCATCCAAATTCCGAACAATCTTAAATCGCAGCCATGCCGACCCTAGCTCTCGCCGGAGGAACCTCGCCAAGTCTCGGCCGTGCTATCGTCTCAGCAATGCTCTCCTCTCAACCTCTGGGTGGAACACGGTTATCCTCTTACGTAACCCGAATGTTCCTCTCTGGTTGCGTGCCATCGACAAGGGCGGTGTGCATGCACCCAGATTCGCGTCGTCGACTACTTCAACACCGACTCTATAGCCACCGCCCTTAACGGCGTCCGTGCGGTCGTTTCCGTCACCTCCGCCCTAGACGGGACATAGGCATAGATACAAGTCAACCTGCTTGAGGCCACCATCCAGGCTGGCTATATACGTTTTGCACTAGCGTAATGGGCTTTTAGGCCCAAAGGACGGAAGAACATTAGGGTGATCAAGGATAAGGGCGAAACTATGTGGAACGCGTGCGTGAAGAACAAGGATAAGATTGAGTACACCAAGTTCAACATCGGAAGGTTCATGAATTATATTAGCCTTAGGATGTACCCGACCTCGGCGGCGCCGAGTGATGATGAGACTACGCTACGGCAGTTGCAGGCGGGAGAAGGTTACATGGCTGGCGAAGACGAGGCATGCCAGGGCTTGCAGCGATAGGGGGACCTCAAAGGCAACCCTGGAGCATTTTTAATTGGCATGAAGCACGCCATTGCCGAACTGCCTATGAAAGGGGACGGCCAGTCGCCGCGAATCAGCCTAAGCACTATGAGAGATGTAGGCCGATTTATCGCCGCATGCCTGATCCGCTGAAGTGGGAGGAAGATATGACCATGGTTTGTGATACCCTGTCCATGGGCGAGCTATTGGCCCACGCCGGAAGCCGTCACAGGAGTGAAATTTTCACGTCGCGAAGAAAGAGGATCTTGAGAGGAAGCTTGGGGAAGTTGCGCTGGACGACTTCATGGGAATGGCTTGGGCTGATTTCAAACTTGCCTATACACGGGATGAGGGGGATGAGGTGGTGCTGTACCCAGTGGCGAACGAGCTCTGCCCTTCGGTGAAGCCTATGTCGACGCGGGAGTATTTGGAAGACTACTGGACAGCCGCTTAATATTATTGTCTAGAAAGGTTCGAGTAGTTAGTGTAGGAAGCGGATGAATGGTAGTGATACAGCCGAAGAAAAATCAGCTTCTGTTACTCTGTAACGCGCTGCCATTATGATACATTCTAATGCTTTATAAATTCCCTTTTGCACTTTCCAGCCAAGAGCTGCAGCCGGGCGTCACACCGCCGCCTCGCTACTTCGCTGTTGCTTACGTTGTCTTTTACTCTAAGGAATGTAGTTGGAGGCTAAGTAGGCCCGAGAAAGGCATCACTTGCGTTATAGGCAGGAACCTCACTAGTAGTCTTTTACTTCATCTTTCTCTACTCACGGCTTTATTTAAATTAACAGTTTAGTCATTATCCACTTTATCTATATCCTTCCGAAATCTTTCTCCCGAGGATACTATCTCTAGAGACTAGTATTGTGCGAGGGTTAACACCTCCGGTGGTTCTATTAAAAAGCGGCACGAGGTGAGCACAAGAACGGAAAGGGAAAGGTGTCGAATGGCAGGCATGGATTATCCGGTACATTATGTAGGTAAATCTGGAAGATACATCACACCACTAGTTGCAGTTGCACTTGATACATCGCTCTATATATTTCCTGGCCTAAACCCTTTCCAAGTCCCAATATCGTCTGAGCACAATTTGTACCTCACCACTGCACCTCGGCCCAGTATGGAGACTCTCAATTGGAAAACAGACATCGAAAATGACGACGAGGTACCCAACATCAACTGGACCGCTCTCCAGGAATTTGCCCTCAACTTGAGGAACAGCAAAAGCGAGAGACTAACAAGCAAAAACTGTCACATCCACCAAAAATAGAATATGGGTGGCCTCCATCTAGCCAGAGCCCTCGAATTCGAAGATGGTATGAAATGGATAGGCCAAATCCAACTGCACGAACTCACCAGCGAACTCAAGAAACGACTATTCCACGAGATATCCACACTCTCTATCCTCCATGAAGAAACAGACGTCCCCGTACCAGAAGTTTACGGCTACGAGACAAACCCAGAACTCATCAGCAGTGCATTCTGTTAATGCAATTCATTCCCGGAAACACAGGAACGGACTTTACGGGGCCTGGTAGTAAAGATACCCCCTCAATTCCAAGCCAAGTTCTACCACGAAATGGCACGTATCCATGCAAGTCTAACGCACCCCAGAGCCAAGGGTATCCCACTCATCCATATAACAAGCAAACCAGGCCGCGATATCAACAATCCGGTTCCCAAAAATCGGCATGATCGCCAAGCGTGACGACAGCACATACGAAATCTAAGCAAACCAGATCTGGGAGGACCGTTCAGCACGGCAACAGAGTATTTCGCAGCATGGGGCGAGCGCACCAAGTTCCCGAGATCAGAAGAAAGCATGAGTGCTATGCTAACGGAAGAGTATAAGGACGATGTCGTGAAATCGACCGCTGGTTTCCCACCACGGATCAAAGAGCAGCGGTTCGATACCACGGTTCGAAACGAGGGTCCTTTCCCGCTGAGACATACCGACTCTCTCCATAGCAATGTTATTGTCGATACCGAGTTTAATGTACTGTCTATTATTGATTGGGAACATGCCGGTACGGTTCCCTGGGAGAGGCTTGAATTCCCGAGGTTTCTGTATAGGCTTCCTCCTGCCTTCGATTTTCCGTGGAGATATGGTGCTGATGGAAAGCCGTTGGCTGATGACACAAGGAAAGTCTGGGGGGAACGAGAGGAGTATATGCGAAGCGTTGCAGAGTCTGAGAAGGAGAGGGGGTATGACGATGGGCTTTCTTCAATCTTGGGGTCGATATATTATCAGAATCTGTCGTCGTGTTACTCGCTGTATGAAGATGGGAAGCTTAGTATTTATTGTAGAGCATTGGACGACTTTATGCCGGATAGATCTGTTGGAATGCCCAAAAAAGGCAGTGAGGACTGACGTTTCCTTCGTCTTGTTTTCTTTTTTGCGTGCAGATATATTGAAGGGAATACGCAGCGATGCAAAAGATCAAGACATTTATCACATTTCAAGACGTAGTATGTTCTAGTACTCCTGGCAAATACCTAGGAAAAAATTCACACCAAAGACCAAGGGCCAATAGACAAAGACAGAAGCACAGGCAGCTTTCTATCGGGAAAAAGAGAGTACAGAAGAAAACGCAAAAAGATTACACCAGATCATTAGAAACTCCGGGACCAGTCCCTCCAGAGTAAGTGACAGTAAAAAGATCGAACGAACGGACACCAAGGATGCAGCCAATGGCAAAGAGTTGTACAAGTGTCAGAACGCCAAACGGGGTCTATACAGGGAATGGAAGAAAGGGTAGTAGGGGGTGTTGAGGTTGATGTCGGAAGTGGGTTGAGGGCGAGACTAGAAGCCGCCCCAGCGGTTGCGGAGACCCTCTGACCATCGCTGGTAGAGGACGTCGGAGAGTTGTTTGGTGTGCTCCATACCGGGTGCAGCTTGAGCGGGGACGGATGGAGGTGACTGGGGTTGGGGTTCGGGAACGTAGGATTGGCGACGACGGTGGCTTTTGAGGTGTGGGTTGTTTTGGGCCAGCACGAGGCGAGGCCGCGAGGGGGAATCGGGCTGTGTGGATGGGAGAAGAGTGGAGAGCCGGGAGTCTGCTTGGAGCTTCTCGTTCATGATCCTGACGATGTGATAGAGGCCTTCGGGGTCGACCATTTCCAGGTCGCTCCAGGCCTCGGCGAGTCTCGAGATCGCCTCGCGTTTATCACCATCTCCTGTTGTTGACAGGACTTCCTGGCAGGACATTCCCACTGCCTTGCTATATGCCCGTCGTCCGATCTGAGCCTCCTTGCTTGAACTGTCAGTGGACACTGTCTTTGGGCTCTGATTTTCATCAAATCCCTGCTTGGCTGGGTTCAGATCAGTGGGGACTTTGTCCGACACCCGGCGGAACTGTCTGACTGTAGACGGGCTGTTGCCGTAGCTTAAGTCTAGACCAAGGGGTTGTTTGACACCACTTGAGCGACGCTTGGTGTTCGCCCGTCTGACAGATGGAGATCGGTCGGTAGGAACTCGGCGGACGGTGGAGTTTGCCTGATGCTTAGGCGGTGGTGGCGGTGCGCTTATATGCATGTCTTCGAGCATCTGGGCTGGATCAGGCGTGTTTTCCTCCTCCTCCTCATCGAATGTCATCCAGTCCGTGCCCTTGGGCTTGAACATTGGAGGAGGCTTGACTGTGTCAAAGACCCAATCGTCATCATCGAGATCCTCAGGCCTGGTCATGGTGTTGAGAGACTCGGCATAGTATTTCACGTCCTTCGCCTCACCACGACCACCATCCCAATCCTGCTTGCGATGGATCAATTCTTGAAGGGCTTCAGGCTTGCCCGCATTCCTGATGAATTTATGCCTCAGGAGCTCCTTTGCGCTCGGCCGCAGATCCGGGTCTTTTGTCAGACATTGTGCAATGAAGTCCTTGAATGTGTTGCTGTACTCGTTGCCTTCAAGGCGAGGGGCGGGGTTCTTCGGAATCAGGAACAGCACCTTCATCGGGTGGGTGCTGGCATGCGGGGGTTCTCCGTTGATCATCTCGATTGCTGTAATACCTAAAGACCAGATGTCTGCCTTGAAGTCGTATCCAGCCTGCTGGATTACCTCCGGTGCCATCCAGAATGGAGTTCCGACGAATGTATTGCGCTGCGACTTGATGTTGACCAGCTGCGCGGCGACACCAAAGTCTGCCAGCTTCACCTTTCCAGTCTGGGAAAGGAGAACATTGGCAGCCTTGACGTCACGGTGGATCTTGCCTTCGCTGTGTAAGTAATCCAACCCCAGGAGGAGTTCTCTGCAGACGATGGCCACATGGGCTTCGTTAAAACATCCAGGTTTTAACTGGAACGGTTAGTGATATACCTCACGGCAAAAATAACAGCAAAGAACATACCAAATCCAAACAGGAACCACCTCCGAGGTATTCCATAACAATCCATAGTTTGTGCCCCTTGAGGAAACTGGCTTTGTATTGTGTAACGTAGGGGCTAGCGCAGGTAGCCAAAACAGAAATTTCCTGTTGAATCTCCTGAATATCGTCCTCGCTGGACTCGAGATCGATCTAAAAAGGGGGTCAACAATCGAACGGAAAGGTGGGAAATTGAAACTCGAAGATCGAATTATCGTGAAAGCGTACGTGTTTAATGGCAACAATCTCGCCGTCGGTCTTATCAATGGCCTTGTAAACGACTCCGAAACTACCACCTGCAAACGGAGAATACGGTTAGCCGATGGAAATGCAAAAAAAAAATAAAATAACAGAGCTTTGGTCAACTCACTCCCCAGCTCCTCCATGACCTGGTAATGGCTCGCCATGTCGTCCATTGTGCAATAAATTAGCCCAGCTAGCTACTCCGGTCAGACAGGGAATGTCGACAGGGCTCATCCAAGTAATGAATGAATAGCTTGGGACTTTTGGTGGTCAAGACGAGAGTAAAGAAGCCATCGGGCATGACGGGCAAGGGGTGGAGCATAAATCCCCAAACAAGCTCCGTCTCACATGGCAACGGATGGCCTCAGGCAGCAACTGGGGTATATCAGCAAGGGGTCCACTCAGCTGATCGGATTTAGCCATAACATGGCCAAAATAGCCTTGAAAGAATTATCATTTACTTATTTTACTTGGTTTACTTGGAGATTCTGCGGTGTACATGCTTGTACATGCTTGTGCATAATGTGATTATTACTTGTTCTCGGTCAACGGCTTATGTTGTGCTCCAGCAATCCCCATACATTTTGTAAACGCTCTAAATATACTTGTATGGGTTCATGATCCCATTCTAAAAAAAAAGTTAGCAATTGCTCACACAGAGCAGCGACACTGCACTTACCGGGTCATAGAGGTTCTTCAGCTGCTTCATCAGCTTCACCATTGTCTCGTTCTGGCTGTAACCAATGAACTCCCGCTTAGCAACGCCAAGTCCGTGCTCAGCACTGATGCTGCCCTGGCGCTTCTGAATCCACTCATACACCCACGGCTCGATCGCCTTCTCCACTTCCTTGCTGTACTGTCGCACGGCAACGTTCAAGTGCAGGTTGGAATCACCCATGTGACCATAACCAACAACAGCACGAACAGGGAAAGAGTCATCATCACCGACTAGACCCTTCTCCATGAGGCGAGCCTTGCAGTCCTCCACGAGCAGGTACAGATCCGACAATGGGATCGACACATCGTATTTGTAGGTGCCGCCCAAGTGGCTCAGGGACTCAGTGATACCCTCACGCCAGCGCCATAGGGCCTGGAACTGGGTCTCATCCTGGGCGAGTACACCGTCGGCGACAATGCCGTCGCCCATCACGCTCTCCAAGAACGACTCCAGCTTGGCCATGTCGTGCTCGGCGTTGGAACCGCTGGTCTCCACCAGACAGTAGAAAGGATACTCACCCTCAAGAGGGTGCTTGTTACCCGTAGATTCAATGACCAATTTCTGGCTGCGACCGTCCATCAGCTCGAACGCGGAGAGAATCTCCGACAGCTGGCCCTTGGCAGCGAGGTAGGCCTGCTGGACCTGCTCGAAGCTCTCAAGACCAAAGTAAGCCACATTAACCGCCTTGGGGCGCGGGGGACACTGAATAGAGACAGCAGTCACGAGGCCAATGGTACCCTCAGAGCCTATGAAGAGCTGCTTGAGATCGTAGCCAGTGTTGTTTTTGCGTAGAGTCGACAGCGCATCCACGACAGTCCCGTCCGGCAGGACCGCCTCGAGGCCGAGCACGCTGCCGTGCAGACTGCCGTAACGGAGGAGACGCAGGCCACCGGCATTGGTGGAGACATTTCCGCCGATGTGGCAGGACCCCTTGGCACCAAGGTCCAGAGGGAAGAGGTGCTCCCGTTCGGCGAGATACTGGTCGGCAGTCTCGAGGATAACACCGGCATCGGCGACCAGCACACCGGAGGCAGCATCGAAAGAGCGGATCTGATTCATGCGCGAAGTGTTGATGACGATCTCATCAAAGACCGGCACCGAGCCACCGACAAGACCAGTGTTTCCACCTTGCGGCACGACGGCCAATTTGCGCTCGTTGCAGTATTTCAGAACCTTGCTGACCTCCTGTGCACTCTTGGGCTTCAAAACTAGCCGGGTGTGGCCACGGTACTTGCGCATCCAGTCGCTGTTGAAGGGTTCGATATCGTCCGTCGCGTCGGTGGTCACGCCATCGATCACGGCGGATTGGGAGCCCAGAAGCTCCTTGAAGTGTGCAACATCGTCGGCGGAAATCTCAGAGAAGCTGGGGTTACGCTTGAGGTTGGGGTAGGCGTCGCTGGTGAACTTGATCTGGCGTGAATCGGAGTTTCGAGTGGAGCTGGCGCTGAAGGTGCGCGCAGTTAAAGGTGTGATGGATTGAACGGTGCAAATGGCAAGGCTGGGACGAGGCACTCGGGCCCGCCGCAAAGCAGCTGTGATGTTCCTAGCACCGGACATGGCTGAAGAATTACAGGAGTAACAATTTTTAGAATATTCAGGTGGAGATGCTCCGATGCTCCGATCTGGCTCCGAGAGCTGCCAGGTCCCCATCGGTTTTGATTCGACCTCGGGGATTTTCGGCATTCTATATTCAACGCTTACAGGGTCTTTAAAAACAGTCTATCTTGTTTAGTGTAGTAGTCTAAATTGATATTTTTACACAGATGTAGTAAATATATAGCGTAGGGATCAAATTCATAGATATATATCCTGTACCTTGTCACACTGCACGACCTCAACTTCACAGTGCTGATCATGATATCATCAGACGTATGCTTAATGCGATACATAAAATACGAATTGAGTGGAATTTATCGAATTGGTCGAATTCCGAGGGTTTAAATGCCTATATAGGCGGGCTAATTGTGTCTCGTTATATCCACAGCTGCCCAGGTGGAAGAAGTCAGTTACGTCACAGTTGGGCCCTGCGGGAAAAGAAGAATTGAGCTTCCCGCATCTTCCTGACTTAACCCATAGCGACACCGAAAATGACATCTACTGTTCTTGTTACTGGAGCCAGTGGCTTCCTTGGCCGGGCTGTTTTCAACATTTTCCAGCACTCGGGCGTGTTGGTTGTTGGCCAGGGATTCTCCCGTCCTGCCCCGCCTACTATCTTGAAGGCCGACCTGGAGAAGGAGGAAGATATTCGGATGCTCTTCGACGAAGTCAAGTACGTATATTCCATTTAGATCTTGAATATAGACATTAATCAGCTTTGGACTATAGGCCCCAGATTGTTATCCACTGTAAGCTAATGAGCTGACCTGATCACCCCATCTCATCATAGACTAACAGCTCACAGGCGCCGCAAACAAGTCCCCAGACCTCTGCGAGAAGAACCCAGATCAAGCCCGCAGGGTCAATGTCGAGGCCACTCGCTCGCTGGCGAAAGAATGCCAAGCTCGTGGCGCCTTCCTCATCTACATCTCCACCGACTACGTCTTCCCCGGCACCGAAGGGGAGGCACCCTACGAATCCGATTCCGAGACCAAGCCACCAAACCTGTATGGGCAATTGAAGCGTGATGGTGAGGTAGCCGTACTAGAAGCAACCAAGGACTCAGGCATGGGCGTTGTGCTGCGCGTGCCGGTTCTGTACGGTAGCGCCAAGGAGAACTCGGAGAGCGCGGTGAACACCCTCGTCGACGCAGTCACGAAGGCCACAGATGAAAATGCTGGCGTGAAGATGGACGACTGGGCCATGCGGTACCCAACCAACACCGAAGACGTTGCGCGCGTGTGTCGGGACATTGTCATCAAGTACCTGCGGGAGAAAGAGAAGCGGAAGGACTTCCCTCGTATCCTGCAATTCTCGTCCGAAGACCGTATGACCAAGTATGAGATTTGCCAGAAGTTGGCCCAGGTGATGGGTGTCGCCATTCCCGGAATGATCGCCAATAAGCAGGGCAATGATCCCAATGCGGGTGTCGTACGGCCTTATGATACACATCTCTCCACCAAGGCGCTGACTGGGCTTGGGATTGATGTTCGGACAGTGGATTTCATCGCGTGGTGGTAAGTTTTCTTCATGTGGTGTACCTGTATACCTGTACAGCTGCAGGACTAGGCTAACAACTTGCAGGCGTCGGGAATTGGGTGCTTATAGGAAATAGGCTCGACCTAAAACCATTGTTTATTATTCAATTCGTAAGAATGATTCAAATATAGAAGGATAAAGGTCCAATTGAAAATCAGAAAGGAGATTTAACCCCGTCAAGGAGATCCGAGTCAGTAACAATCTCGGAATTATCACTCCACGGAGATTGCATATTCTGTTTACGGAACAGCATCAGCATATCATCCGAACTATACGAGCCTACCTTCATGATATCACCATTTGTGAAGAATAGCAAGTACATTTGGAGTGAGACACTTAGATCAGATCGTCCTGTGGACCCATGGAGATCATCCAATGATAGCCTCATATGTTGCATTGAACAATCTAAACAATCTAATGGTGCAAATAATGCTAATAGTACTCCGTACCTGTCGATCATATATCGCATAGTCCATCAGGTCTTTATATCGTCGCGCGTGAAACCGCATGTGGCGCGTCGGCGGCAGATCCGGAAATGTTAGCCCCCACGAAACCACCTGGGCAACCACCTGGGCACCAAGGCTGCGCAATTGTGCTTTCTTTTCTCTCACACTGGATGGTCCTTTAGTACTTCGGTGAGTTCCATATATGACCTATCTAAGCCAAATCCCATGCACACCAGGCTAGGCCGGCCCAATTGGCGATCGGTGCGGGTCGCTTTTTGCCCCCCAACGAGGCGCAAATGGTCGATTGAGAACAGGCCGGTTTGATCGTGAGGAGGGATTCTGTTAATCCAATCCCACTGTGACTTTTTCCCACATTTGTTTCAATTGTGGTTTCCACCTTCTGTGTGCTAGGAGTCCGAATCGCAGAGTGACAGAGTCGCGGAGTCGCAGCACTGCCCATTCGATCTCCGATCTAAAGGAAATTACGGGAAATTGCCGTTTGGTGTCAAGGCGACGCTAACCTGATCCTGGAAATAGAAACTGAGACAGATTTAGGAACTCTCGCGCCTCGGGCCCCCGGGGGGCGAATCTCAAGTGAGAACACTCCAGCATGAGTGAGAACAGTGTGACAGCCATGGCGCAGTCCGTGCCTCAAAAGTTCTCTCGATACCGTGGCATGCGAGGTGTGACAACCGACGTCGAAATGGCCGCACCACCTGCACCTGTGAATAGCATCGGCGAGCAGAATCCCTCGATCGCGAGGAGCAGATCTCGATACCGTCGCAATCGGCCATTGTCAAATGGAAATATCGCGCCTCCCACTCCCGCGATCCCGGGCTACGCGCGAACTAGGCCGGCGGAACAGCGGAATGAGCTACGACAAAGTGAACGGGAGGGATCTCGCGCACGTGAGGCGCACCGACAAGATGCGATGGAACAATTGACTGGAGGGGATAGCACAGCGCAACACATTCGGCCACAGGCGTCCGCCCCGCCAAAACAGGTCGCGCAACAACCCCGATCGCAACCAGCCCCGGCGCATCCCTCGCGCAGTTCCCATTCGGGAAACGATTGGAATCGCAAGTCTTTCTTTCAGAAGGTCAAACTCTCAAGATCCAAGGACCATCCCAAGAAAACCGAGTTCCCCCCGAAATACATTGGGGTAGGCGGAACCGGAGTGGTTCCAGGAGTTGATGCTCCGGTCAGCGCCGTCAACGCCGGAGAGCGACATGCCCTTGTCAAATATGGAGATGCCACTGCGGATCTCACTGTCACCCCGTCAACTCAAGTCCGGGATATATTGCTAGACGCCACTAAGCACTTATCTCGGGACATTGATGCGGAGAAATTCATTCTCATGGAGTCTTTCGCTCAAGTTGGCCTAGAGCGTCCTCTTCGCCGCTACGAGCATGTCAGGGAAGTCATGAACTCCTGGTCACACGATGCTGACAACCAATTCATCATCATTCCCCCCTCCAGCGTGGAGGCCTTAACTCAGCTCGATGCTGGGCATGCCCCCAGCGGGCAACCATCGCCAGTGACTGTCAATCTTTACCATTCGCAGCGTCGCCGCAAGTGGGATAAGCGATATGTCACCCTGCGTGCTGACGGACAGGTGACAATCTCAAAAAAGGAGAACGCCGAGGACCAGACCAATATCTGCCATATATCCGACTATGACATCTACTTTCCCAGTGCTCGAGCGCTAAACAAAGACATCAAGCCGCCCAAGAAGCTATGCTTCGCAATCAAGAGCCAGCAGAAGTCATCCATGTTTCTGTCCACCGAAAACTTCTTGCACTTTTTCTCGACCAGTGACAAGTCTATTGCAGATACATGGTACCGGGCAGTACAAAAGTGGAGAAGCTGGTATCTTGTCAATAAGAAGGGAGCGGGCCAGAAAACAGAGACCGAAACACTTCCGAAGCGAGCTGGGACGCAGAAATCGACTCGCCAGCCGAGAAATATGCACAACGAAGTCCCACTCCTGCAAAGGGAGACTTCGACCGAACCACCGAAGCGTGAAAGCTCTGATCAACGGAGGCCGACAACTTCCCAAGACATCTTTGCTCGGAAGAAGACACTTCGTGAACACGTGCCCCCTCCGGCTTCATATCCCCAGCTGACGCTCGATACTGATGTGGAAGGGCCTTTTGCCGACAACCAGGCATTACTCTCAGGTAGTTCGCCCGAAGAAGTAGATATTTCTACTTTTGCACCATCCGGACTCCTAGGCCGGACTTACACGCAGCGACAAAATGCTATGCGGGAACGAGATGATCGCGATAAGAGGGCTAAGCAGGAAGCCTTTTCAGGCGTTGGCTTTATGAGCGGAGGATCCATACACAGCCATGACTCAAACCCCAACAGCCGGACCAATACAATGACTCGTGCTCCCGATTCATCTGCTTTCACTCGAACCCCATCTCTCAAACAGAAGCCTCTGGTTGATCTCACCCCAGTCTATGCCGAGCCACCGCAGCATAGCCGCAAGGGCAAAGGTCGCGGCATCAAAGTGCAACCAGGCATGCAGCTCATCGACGGCGCCACTGGTCCAGATCAGACCCCAGGAGGAATCGCCATCCCACCTGCGACTTCGTGGCGACGGCCTGCCGCAGACACCACACCCCTGCGAGGAAACACCACCCGCAGCGTGCGCCATCACCCAAACAAATATGCGGCCCCAACTTCTGCTGAAGGAAGCCCGGCAGTCCCCGCGGCACAGTTCACCGCAAACAGCCTGTTGGCACATTCAGCCAGCACAGCTAGCCATCGGAATCCGCGCAACGGACATGGCGTCGCAACGGGTGACCGCAATGCCACACGGCCGTTGCTGGATATGTCGCCGGAGAACCCCTTCGCAGATGGCAGTCTGCTCCGGCAGCTATAGCTTTGCTTTATTTCGTTTTTCTTATGTTTATTGTTACCATGATCATGATTGTTACTTCGCGGATTTTGTCCTGGTATACCTAGGGTTTTTACTTGGGTTTTTACTTGGGCCACCGGCTCCCCACACTGCGACACTGCGAGGTTGAGTCCAATCTCGTCAGTATTCATGCATTCCGTGTCTTTTGATCTGGAGATAAATTATTGATGCCCGATTGTGCTTGATGGACGATTTATCTTTGTTAGAGATACCCATTCTATGTCGATTTAGCAAAGAAGTAAAACTGAATATCTATCTCACATTTATTTTTGACGTTATTTCTAGAGTTGTTTCTCACTACGTGCCAGGGATTTTCTACCATCTCTCTCCTTCTCGAGTAAGGCTTTAAGCAGTTGTCATCACACTATCTGACTTACTGTGACATCTCCGCACCGAGGACTATCCCTCCAATCGACCCGCTTCGTCCAACGTATAAGACCATTGAACTGGTCAACTTCGGACACCATTCTGACTTTACTCATTACCACACAATTTTCCGAGATGAGTCAAGGATCTTCTAGCCCGCGCGAGCAGCATAAATCTCCAGGTAGTCTCACCTGCAACAAGGGGAGGATACGCGCCTTGATCCAGACAAGTGACGGAGAGAGACACTATTTCACCGGCACCGTGAGCACTGATCTACGTCTCATAGTCAACGGTGCTCATGTGCAGTACTTCGATCTCGCCGAAGATAAGCCATACTGCCAAGAGCTCAAGGCATTGATTGGTCCCCTTCACGCTAACTTCTGGTGGCAAGGAGGAGCTATACACCTGTCTGGAAAATTGTTGCACCGCATTGATGATACAATCGAAATAACCGGAGAAGGGTGGTGGGGCGATATCGACAACAAGGAGTATGAGGAGAATGGCGAGGAGCGTTACAGTGATGAGAGCGACGATCCGAGAGCATGAGGTTCAGGGTGAGCTTTATTAGAGACATTGTTGCGTTCCTGCTAATAAGAAGCCCCGCAGGTGCCTACCACAATACATGAGAGCGAGCATATATGCCCACGATGTCTAATGGGATGGGTGTGAATGCCGGAGAGTTGCAAGGGGATTCGGTTTATTTTGAGGGTGCAAATGGCTAGGATATCGTTTAACCAGGGATGATATGCATCACTGACTCAGTTATCTGGCTGATATTGACTGCTATTTGCATCCGGGCATGGGAGCGGATATCCTATCATGCGTCGATTGCAGATGTGTCTGATATTCAGCTACGCCTGCCCCATCGAGAGTCCAGCTCCACGGCTCGACTATCTCTGGCTTTGCCCCGATCTCCTATTCAATACCGTTTGGCTACTCGGACTGAAAATACAAACAGCATGGAAAAATAGGTCCTCATTTATCTGCTCGTACACCACTAGGGATAACCAACCCCACAACATGAGCGAAGTCTACATCGACTTCCTCCGAGCACATCCCAATACCACGCCCCCTTAGCAAAATCCCATCAAACAACCCAAAAAGGACACATGCTGCAACGGGAAACCTTCCTTTTTCCTCCAGATCAATCCAATCATGTCACCTAGCAAATAGCAAAAGAAGCACACAAAGAAATCCCCACCCTTCAACCATTTCTTCAAGCTCAATAAGCACGATAAACCTTGAAACTCCTAAACTCCCAGTAAGCATCAACAAAACTCTCCGGATTGCTAGCAACAAAACTCGAACAAGTCCCTGGACAATGATACAAAGTATCATAATACTGTTTCTGACCAGCAAGCTCACCACAGAGATCAATATTAACAATGATACTCAGGTTCTTGAAATGCGTCGCAATGTCACAGTTGGTACCCGGGAAATCCGCCAGCGCAATGCCCCAGCTACTCGGATCAGGATTCCCCGCGGTGATATCAGCAGGGATAGTTCCACTCGGGAAGAACCAAGCCCGAATACCAGCGTCACGGAGTTCAAGAGCATAAACACCTCCACCGCGGTTATTCATTGCCTCGCCATAAGTATCCTCGTCACCGATGACGCCGCAGCCAGAATTCCCATCCGTGGCACTATCGCAATTCTTGAAGATAGCCTGACCGGTCTGTTTGCGCTTGACATCCATCTTGCACCCCTTGGTAGTATGGATGGAAACTTCATTGCCATGGCTTCCAATATTGGTGGTTTCAAGAACATCGATCTCGCCATTCATCGGCCAGTTATAGCCATCTGTTAACCACAAAGCGGGCCATGTTGCGCAGCCGAAGGGTGTATGAATGATGTCGAAGACGAAGAGGCCCGAATCATATGTATTTCTCGACTCGACGCGGACGGAGTTCCGGCCAGAGAGGGCGCTTGGAGTTGATGCGTCGACGCGCAGGATGGCGGAGGATTCGGTTGCATATGTGAGGTTTAGGTTCCCGGCGGTTGATTTGTTGACATAGACGACGAAGCCGCTTGTTGGGTCTTCGTCTGTGAAATAGGTGAATTGGTCGAAGAAGGTTGGGCCGGAGTAGGTGTCTGCGAGGGTGTAGTTCAAGGGGGTGTAGTTTGGGTAGCGGTTTTGGATTATTTCGACGGGGATCAGGATTGCAGCCAGTATGGTTACTATGGTTGTTGCGCTGGTAATGAGTTTCTTGCGCAGGGTCCAGCCCCGTGGGTTATACCAGGGATGAGCTTCTGGGGTGTCTCTGTCGCCTTCTGGTTCACTGGAGGTAGCGAATGGGGATTTGGTTTCGAGAGTGGGGATGTTCGAGTTGGCCCCGCTATAGCTTTCTAGATATGGTAGTTGTCGGTTGTCCATGGTGATGGTTGATATAGTTGAGATAGAGGATTCTAGTATATTTGGATTTGGAGATGACTTTTTTTCTATGTTCTACGTAGATTACACCCTTATGATGTTCGAAAACTATCTAGTTTGTCGTCATGGACCTGCCATCTACCATAATGGAAAAGCGCCGATCCTTCCGCTTGTGGATGCACGGATCACCTAGCTATAAATAGCCTAGTCTATTTCGTCGTGCCATGCAAGGAAGGTTCCTTGAAAGTACATACAGACAATCAGTTAAGGAATGCCATACAAGAACCATTAATATGCCGGTGGTAGGATAATATTTCCATTAATAATGTATACAACGAATTAAAATTGTACCGCCAGGGCACGTGTTGTGTAGAATGTGTAGAACGCCAAACCTCTCCATGTATGAACGAAAAAAAAAGGTTCCGCCCATTTCTACCGATTGGATCGGAGAGTCGACGTACGACGTATGAGAGAGTCTCCATTAGGAGCAGGTTGGGGCTGCCAGTCGCGGGATTCCATACCCGAAGACAGACCGGCATCGTTCCTCGCCTGAGATAAGGTACGCGATTGCGATGGCGCGAAAGACCCACCACCACTCAGGTTGGATGCGCGGCGGCGCATGCGGCGCTCTCCCTCTGCGGCCTCGTGTCGATTGAGGGCATCGGAGGGGAGAAGGACAGCGCGGTCGAGCGCATAAGGCAGGCCACGGTGGCGACCACGGACTTGCATAGCGATGATCACCAACTTGGAGATCACATTGAACTGCCCCGAGAAGGAGGTGTTGGCATTTGTGTATCCAAACGACAGACCCACAGTACCGTATGCCGAGACAACCTCAAACAAAACAGTGAACACCTGGAAAGCGTTGTCGTTTTTCTGCAATTTTGATCCTTCCGCTATGGTAATGATAAACAGACCCAAAAAGACATACCATAAATCGAAACTCAGCTGGCGTCGCAAGTGAGCTCCGATATAGGTGGGGGCATTTGTTTCTTCGTCGTTATCTTCCTCTGCGGCATCGTAAATTCCCAAACTCTTCTCTTCGTAGACGTTGGTTCGACGCATAGAGATAGCGATGGGAAATACTGAGATATACATCATGATCATATAGGAAACTTGGATGGCGGGGTGAAGTTCTGAGAGACTGATGATTCCAAAACCGGCTGTCCGTGTCGCCGCGGCTTGGAAGAAGCCGTCCACAATTCGAATGGCGGGTGGTAGTTCAGTGACGGCAGAATCGTTGAGCTACAAAATCATGTTCAGTGAAAATCGCGTAAAAAGAAAGATATCCAAAACTCACATCCAGGATGACGAAGAAGATCACATCAATGCAGTTTAATGCGACTAGAATCGCAAACAGCCACCAGGTGGCATTGCGAGGGAACAATAGAGTGAAGCATCGACGGGGATGATCCAGAAGGAACTTCAACTCTTCCCATAGCGCACTGCCTTGGCGGGTGACTTTCGAAAGGACCCAGATGATTAAACGAAGCATGCATGGGAAGGCGGTATTGCCAATGATGATTAAGAACGACATCATCAGCAAAGGGAAAACAGCCCTTTGGAAGGAGACCATCGAGTCAGGTGTCAAGGTGAAACCCAAGTCGTTGAAGGCGGACGCAGCGGTAAAGATTCCCCACCACGGCCGCCCAACTCCATCGGCCCGGACAATATCGCCCCATTTGTTCGCTCTCATAATCCAACCGACCAGGCTCACCAGGCCGATGAGATGAAATCCGACATAGTAGGTGATAAGAACGACGGCCAAGGTCTTCAGCGCACGGTATTCGATACCGCCCAACTCATCACGCTGCTCCTCGGTCAGATCAACGAAGTTCGAGTTACGAGCCACTGTAGCATTCCAACTGAGATACGGTTGAGTGTTGAGGTCACGCTCTTGTGTCAGAGATCGGAAGATCCCCCTGAATGTGTTCCTCGTGTTAGTAGGGGCAAGAGTAGTAGTCTCATTCCCATCTTTAGTCTCTCGGAAAGTGGGGCGAGTTTCCAGACGAGGGAACGTATTACCGCGTGGGCGGGTTCGTGAAATATCTGGCTCGTTGATGGTGATGTGTGGTCCTTCAAGTGGACCAAGTTGATCGAGCTCCTCGGGGTGTGCAACGGGGCTCTGCTCGTCCTCTTGGTCGTCATGGTCATTGGACTGCTGGGCCTGCTCACCCTCCTGGTCGGCATCTTCTTCCAACGCCTCTGGCGCACCACCACGGTCATACTCCCGGGGACTCGGAATGCGCAGAGCTCCTTTGTCTTTCCGCTGCTTTTCCAAGAAGGCAATGTGGTGTTCGGGGTTCAAATGGGTTGGAACCTTCAAGCTACCGAGGCCAAAACGAGGTTCGCGGCTTGTGTCGGTTCCCTCGGAGCTGGAGTCGATACTGCTCCCCCGGGGTTCTGGCGTGTTGATGCCCGAATTAACGTTCTTGCTAGCTGGATCCGTCATTCGGCCGTCCCGGGCGTCTCCTGTATCGTCCCGTATCACCACAATGGGCCGACCGCTGACCCCATGCTCCGCACGGTTGATATTGTCGCTGTCCCCATCATCGGTCACCGTTTCCATGCGGGATCGGGTCCGTCGCATCGCCCGAGCGTCTCGGACCACATGTTGGAAGCGCTTCTCGAACCAGTATAACCGAATAAACACCAGGGCGCCGTGGATGAAGATCGGCGTGCACAGACATGTGATCAGGTATAAGACGATTTGTTGATATAACCGGAGGATATTCAGATCGACGGTGTTCAGCCCGCTCTGGGTGGCGGCGCCAGCGGCGTGGAAGAGGGCATCGACATAGGCGACATTTCCCCCGGCGTAAACGATGATGGAGCCTATGATAGCCCAGGATATGATGTAGGCGTAGTGGAGGAGGATAAAATTTATTTGTAGGTCTTTTACGAACGGGATCTTTTCCTTGTAGGATTTCACCCGGCGAAGAAAGTCCGAGAACATATTGAACGGACTGCGGCCAGACCGTTGCCGAGCGGAGACCACTGGCACTGGCCGCGGAGGGGAGGATGTCGAGATGGGATGCTCTTGAACGGACGGAAATTTTTCGAACCTATTGCAATTATTAGCTCTGACATCTCGACTTTGTTTTTGGTGCGGCATACATGTGGTCCCGTCGATCACTACCGAGCGGAGAGCTTTGACTCGTGCAGGAAGAGACCACGAGGAGCTGCTCTTAGCCGCGTGGCATTGAGCCACAATTGTGCGTAGAGGTGATCGAGGGCATAACGGAAGAAGAAGGGAATGAAAAGAAGGCAACTAGAAAAATCTCAAACCAAAAATAAAAATAAAAAAATGCTGCGATAGGAAAATCACGCATGCGGGAAGATTACATTACGGTATGGTATTGTCAACTGCCACAGAAAACGTGGTCTGCCGATCGCTTTTGTCCCGTCTCGTCGGGTTTTGTGGCGCAGCAAACTGTATTTCGTTTAGGTTTGGGTGATGTAAATACGCTTGGAAGTGTCAACTAAGTTATATTGAGGTAATAATGTAATAAGATGATAAAACAATAGAAGAAACATTCAACATATATAAAAATAAATAGCTTCAAGTGGATTCTTGACTCCATTCTCGATAAGCTTTTATTCGGAAGGATTCGAGTCGGGATTCACCCCTCCGTACTCGGCATTGCCGCATGTACGATATAGGCGCATCCCTGCGCAGTTAAGTTGCAGATGCAGTCTAGGCGCATTGGCATGTGATGAAGTACTTTATCTTGGCATCTTATACATCCCAAAACCTGAAACTGTCCGTCAACATCTTAAAATTTATATCGTCGCTGCCTAATACTGCGTACTATGTTCTAGATTGGCCCACTTTTCATCCCGGCCATGTCATGGCCCGTTCCTAGCAGAATTACCCCTTACGCAGTTAGGGCTGCCGAATATCACTATTTACTCCGTGCCCCTTTCTGATTGGTCAGTTGGGACCTCATGCATTCTGCGTCTTGGATAGGGCAGCCGCCTTATACTTGGCGGTGGAAAGGTATTGCGTCTTCTCCAATCATTTGTCTGCGTGTCTCACGCTTACATTCTTACCGGGACCTGCCAACGGCAGATTCAAGAAATATAATAGATCTATTATGACCCCTTGGAATGGAAGAAACTAGACGGCACGGGCGGCCCGACATTCTTCATCCGAGGGGAAACTCCACAGCGAAGGTAACACAGTTAGCTGCCGAGACAGCAGCAGAACGTTCTCTTTCGCAAATATCGAAACTTCTAATCTCCTAGGGACAATGTTCCTGCCCGACTATTCTACAATTTTACGAAGAGAAAAGCGAAAGCCTTAACAAACCAGCAGCGCAGATAAGCAGTATGCAAGATCTAGTCGGATTTTAAATTGAACTTCGACGTCGGTTTACCTCGGACTGCCGTTGTTTGACTCATCTCAGCTTCACTCCAGGGCTGACAAACTTATTTGTTCTACGAATTTTCGATCCTTGAAAGGTATTTACTTTCCAAGATGCCTAGTAGGAGTTGCGGTGTCTTCGGGTAGACCTACTTATGTACATATGTAGGTAGTACGAACTACAGCAACTCCACTCTATATATATTTAATATTCCAAGGTTCTGTACTCACCGATATTGCCCCGCTTTAGAGAGTTTATTTTCCCTGGTTATACATATAGACATCTATGGATGTAAGAGATTCCTCTATATAGTTTCTGCTTTTTACTGCCTCATAGCTAATGATCATTCTTCCAGCTATAACACCGAGGAGGAAAGAATATCTATAAAAAGACATGTAGAAAGACCTGTAAAAAGAACATTCAAAAAGACATCAGAGTGTTATCTTTGTTGCCTCTCTGGTATAATGTTGAGCCAGATAAATCAGATTATGAAAGTCCTGCGTCGTGAAGGATAGAGGCATACGAGGCCGGCTACTTTTTGTAGAATTCATTTAGAAATGACGATCCTAGACTGCTGCAGTGCTTCATATTAGGGGGACTTGAGGCTTCGGGATCTTGACTAATTCCACCCATCGGCAAGAGCTCCTCCCGGAAGGAATGCCTGTATAGCACCGCTATCTTTATGATATAGTCGCAGATACAAGCAAATAGAGGAACATTCCACTCTTGCCCTGAGTTCAATCCACCCATATACTGCGACTTGCTTTGCGGTACCATAGATAGAGCAATAATAGCGCTGTAGGGTCCTTTTTCCAGAGCAAGTCTTCAAAAGGCCCATGGATACTCCGCATGAAGAGTTGAGGTTGACCTGTTGTGATCTCGCTATCCGGGAGGCCCAGGATCTGGGATACAGCGTGGGCGGCATGGAAATACGGATTAGTTTCCGCGGTAGATGAGTATTTTAGGCTACACACGGTGGCTAAGGCCCTTGGTATATCACAAATGCCTCCCTCTGCTAATAGTAAATGCATGTGAGCAAAGGTCGCCGACATGACGCGGAAAAGGCTGTCCGGTCGCAGCGGGTTAACAATGTGCCACAATGACATTGTACCCTTGCTCATGCGCAACCAGTTCAAGTCGGAGGAGTCGGAGGATTTTAGAGGCCACGCTTGTTCCGGTGTATATGCATCAGGGGACGAGAATGTTAAGATAACCAGAGCAGCCGCAGTACCCCAGATTGATCCTTATCTTTGTCTTCAATGGGTTCCCTTAGCCGCTTGTCCAAGAGAACAGTGCTTTGAGACCAGTGATAACACTCTTCTACAGTGCGACGACAGCCTAAGGAGCCATTCAGATGGCGATCATATGTAAGCGAGAGGCGTGCATTAAGAAAGGGTACTGTAAACCATATGTTAGCCGTGCTCAGGCCCATGATGGATAATCTGGATTCCATTATGTCTAATAGGACAGGATTGATATGAGAGAACTCACGGTGAAGGCTAGTTCTAGGAGCTTGCGATTAACTTGTGTCATATTAGGGTCGTCTGGGGTAATGAGACTTCGTCCAAGATACCGGGTTATAAAATCTTGACACTTTGCGTTTAATTGATAGGATGTCGATGAGCCAGATGTCCAAAACAGCATTTGTGAGAGGGGGCTGAAGCTGTGCTTTTCCTCGAACCACCAATGGTCGCCCTGTGTCAGCGGCGACGGGCTGGAGGTCTGGGATGTTAGACATGAAGTTGCATAATACCCCGAATGAACCACATCTCTTGCACTGTGGCTTGTTTTCGTCGCACGGGTAGGCCAAGGAAGCTCCGTCAGCCAAGAATCGGAGTATTGGAAGCCTGGGGCCCACCTTGAGTTTTCGAAGCTTGCAATTTCGGCAACCAAATCTCGACCTCCACAGAGCCCTACCGTCCTGCATCTCGCTTGGACAAGTCAAAGCCATGCCTTGCGTGGCTTTGCTGTGAGGAGTCTCACCAGTTCGATCGAAATTCAATAGCGGAGAGGTCATGGTTCCCCCAACGACACTAAAATAGGCCCGAATAAGCTAACCTTCTTTCGGATATTCCACCTTTCACGCTGTCTCTCGGATGTAGACATCTCTGATTGGCTGCAGGTTCTGCCTTCAAGCCATCCATCTAGGTATACAGAGTGACCAACACAAGATCGCCTTGGACGAACGCGTCACTACAAGAACAATTAGCTTGGGATGGTAGCTTAATTTATAAAAAGAAGGGTATTCCTCGATATCCTACGAAGAAAATTTGGACACCAGACTCGGTCTTATAAGATTCTACACCTCGTAGGCCTTTATTTACACAAGCAGTCCAGAATGGCCACCCACCTCGCCGCCGTCTCCTTCGCAAAAGGTGAGCCCTTCGAGGTCCAAACCCGTCCCACACCAAAGCCTGGCCCAGACAAGCTCCTTATCGAGGCCAAATCCTTACCTCTCAATCCGGCAGACTGCGACATGCGTGATCAAGGCCTCTTCATACCACCTACCCCACGGTCACCGGTTTTGACAACTCGGGGCTAGTCCTCGAGGTCGGCGACAACGTCCCCGTCGGTGCTACCGATGGAGCCCCCGGCTCCCTTTTCCGACCGGGCATCACCCGCGTCGCCGCCTACGCCGCCTTCGTGTGGAAGTCCTGCGACCCTGACTACGGCGCCTTTCAGGAGCGGTGCCTCGTCCCCTGGCAGCACGCCATGCCTCTTCCGGATGGGGATATTTCGTGGAACCAAGCGGCAACCTTGCCGTCCCCGTTGAGGTACCTCTTAATGCGTGGGATGTTATGGGTATTTCACGGGTGGGAGAAGCTAGTGCTTTGTCTTCGGTTTCCGCTGCCCCAGTTGGCGCCGATACCAGCGGAGGAACCCAGAGAATAGCAAAGGAAAGAAAGACGTTCTATTGATTTGGGACGCTTCGTCTAGCGTGGCCGCGATGGGCGTACAAGATGCCCGGCTGCTACGGGAAGATGGCAACTCTTCTTTCGCCGCCGTTTACGCTACGGCCGGCGCGGCGAATCAGAAGTACGTGGGAACCCTAGGCGCGGATCGCGTCTTCGATTACAAGGAGTCGCATGTTGTGGATGCGATTTTTTCGGCGGCTAGAGAGGATGGCCTAGTGATTCGGCACTGGTTTCTTTCCACGGGGCAGCTGGCGCCGTGTCAGGCCGTGCTCAAGGCTTTCTTCAGGGATGATCAAGGGGAGAATACCAGAAAGCGAAGATTGGGTCGGCGCCGATTATTCCTCCGGACGCGGACGTGGACGGGGCGGAAACCATCTTTGTACTGCCGTCGGCAGACGAAGGAGAGAGGTTGGCTCAGTTCCAATATTGGGTGGGGACGTCGCCGAGGGAGAACCTGGCCAATGGGACCATCAGGCCGAGTCCGGAGCCGAGGGTTGTGGAAAATGGTTTGGGGACTATTAATGCTGGGTTGATGTGCTACTTCGCGGGGTGAGTTGCACTAAGTTGGTTGCGGAATGAAAGTTTTTGCGAGGCTGGCACCAGGTACTTGACGCAAAGGATTGATTGGAACTACATAAAGTCCCCAATACTGTGTTTAGTCAAACAGATCCGGGCTTGGAACCGTGCGGAGGATAGAGGCCACTTAAGCGGCCGAATATTCCTCTTCTGGAGATTGTTGACATTTTGGATAGACGATTTGATCGGCGCGGGGTTGGGGTTTGCATTGCTTGAGGTCATTGACCCCAATTTCTCCAACTTCATGTTGGAGTAACCGATAGATAACCATTCATAGTCATTAATTCCCAGTGTTTCTTTCTTCGTTATAATCAGCTTCTCATACCTGTAAAATTGTCATATCATGGCCTCTACTCATCGCATTGCCGTAATTCAATGGCAGATAAAGGTGGGTACATCGAATTGGGCTATGCCCGAGCGTCGGACCGTTGTAAGACGTGCAGTTTGATTGCAATCGGATTTGCTTACATTATCCCAGGAGCTTGACATTGACTACAATCATAGGATAGCATGCGACTACATTGGTGAGGCCGCTGCCCAAGGTGCTGAGCTAGCCGTTCTTCCAGAGTAAGAAACATCTTATTACACCTCCTGTCCAATGACACTCGATAGCCCCCAAAACGAAGGGATACTTGCTGATTCAGGACAACCAGATATCATCTCAGCGGCATGGTCCCCACGGACCCCCGTTGGGCAGTCCAAGCTGGCGAATCCGCCCAGTACCTAGCAAAGTACCAAAGCCTGGCCAAAGAACTGCAAATCTGCATCGTACCGGGTACAATCATCGAGAAGCACACAGGGTCCGATCAATCGACACTGTTCTACAACACAGCCTACTTTATCTCAAACGATGGCACTGTGCTCGGCTCCTACCGCAAAAAGAACATCTGGCACCCGGAACGACCCCACCTCACCTCCTCAGGCCCAGAGCCCCATGTGGCAATCGACACTCCAATCGGCCGCGTGGGGATGCTGATCTGCTGGGATCTGGCATTCCCCGAGGCATTCCGGGAACTGATCGTCGACGGGGCGCAGATTGTGATTGCGCCTACATACTGTATATTGAATTCATTCTAGTCTGTTCTTGTATGTGGTATCTGATCTAACTGAAAATTGTTCCAGGGACCCCCCACGACGCCTCGCCCGAAGCGCGCGCATATAACCCAGATTCAGAAGGCCTGTTCCTCGAGTCGACCATTACATCCCGCTGCTTTGAGAATACGTGTGCAATTGTCTTCGTCAACGCTGCCGGACCATCGGAGGATTTCTTGGGCTTGTCGCAGATTACACTTCCTCTTGTGGGTCAGATTGCTAAGATGGGGACTGAGGATGGATTCATCGTTGCCGATTTGGACATGGGGGTCATTGAGGCTGCGGAAAGGAATTACAAGGTGCGACAGGACCTGAAGAAGGAGAATTGGCACTATGTTTATCGGCATACCGGGAGAAAGTAGACACATGTAAATTCCACTGATTCTTTCGTGCTTTATGCGACCATTATAGCCATGCGATTCTAAGGTTCCGAGCTAGGCTGGTTCCCTTGATGAAATTTCGTTTTGCAAATTCGCCTCCTGCCTTGTGTCTGCTATTCTGGCCGTGTCGGCTAGGAAATGAAAGCCGACAAAGAGAGTATGATCAAGTATTACGCTATAATCCACCACACAAAGTGCCTTGGCATTGTCAACGCCAAGGATATCAGGTGATGCTTGTGAGACTTCAGGAGGCTAGCCGCATGACGGGCGGATACGCCATTCCGAACACAGTCTAGCGTCAAAAGCTTATCTCCAACCATATAGCAGCTTTATAGATTCCAGAAGAAATCGACTTTACACATAGTATGCCCCTTCTTCGAAGGCCACATAGGTTTCTTTTGGCTTAATCACTTTATATTTAGCCTGTAGACAAGATGGTGTCCCCTGGACGTTCCTTCGTAGCATCTGCACTTTTGAAATCCCAGGAGTCTCGATGGTTTATGTGGATGATGATATGGAGAATTGAGTCCTCGGAGATGCGAGAAGCACTAGTCTGGGGCAATCGATCCATGGATGTAGCTAAATATGGCAGCCACAGTAACCGATGATGGTGACGGCTTCAATTCTGGCCCAGGGATCGGCTTTGTTTTATCTTGAATGCTTGCTTGCAAGCTACAGTTCTTCATACTGTCTACAAGAAGGCCCACTAGGTGACGGCGTCACATGCACGACCAGGTGCACATAAGGCAGCTGGGGATGGATACGACTTCATGTGATGATGATCAATGGGGTGAGTGCCATTGTCTCCCAAGAAAAATCACGAACCCAAAAAAGACGAGAACAGAAAAAAGAACAGAAAAAGAAAACTCGAAAAAAGCCGAAAAAGAACCAAAAAAACAACAACGATATTGACAACACATTGATCGTCACAAAACATACAACAGCCAACAGAAAAACGAAAATGGAGGACAAGTAACAAAGAGAAAAGGGGAAGATGGATTTGCATTGGATAGAAGAAGAGGAAGGAGGAAGAGAAAGGAACAAGGAGAAGGGATGGTAAATTGGTTGCTTCCGATGTTTCCAAGAGAAAGGGATTCGGTGAGATCAGAGACATCGTCTCTGGAGATTCAAGGCTGACTTCCAAAATTACAGTCCCCTATGACTTCACTAGAGCTTTTCGACACCTTCCAATTCCACCATGGCCTAGCCAGCAGAGCTCATGATTCACCCTGAACCAAGAGGGGTGCAATGGCACAACTGTTCGTTTCTCAACTTGTGGTTCTCTTTCGCCAGTGCTAACACCTGCAGTCATCAGTCACCACCATCAACCCACGAGATCCTCGAGTATTTGAAGAACTTCCTGCTCAACTCTATTCACCCTTTGAAGAATCCAGCATCTCACGCCGTCGTTTCATCCCACCACCCAGTGCAGTGGCGGAGGCCCATTGACCTGCTGCAATGTTGCGACTCACACCTCCTGCCGGCCCCTTACCACCTGCCTCGACAGCCACCACGAGACCACTAGGAATAGCACGAAGTGAACTAGGAACATCATCCCCTGACACCATACTTTCCAACACCAACAGGCGGCGTGTTTGATAGTATGCTCAGGGGGTGCACTATTCCTAGTTTACCCGGGACTGAGGGCTTTCTGGTATATCAATGCTGCCCAAGCGAGTTGAACAGGTAGTGAAGGCGACCGGAGTGGCCTCGCAGGATTGTAATATCGGAATATCAGCGCACATCACCCAATCATTTCTCAGCACCCGACAACCACAATCTCTCAGCTTTGGGTCACGTCAAATCCCGACACCGAAGACCACCTCAATTCTTCACGAAATGGTGCCAACGAGACACAAAATCTCAACACTTACCACTTTCGTCAACATGGTATCAATCGACATCGATCTTACCTTTTAAATACTGAGCACTCCCACTGGACTGGGCTGGTACACTGAACATGGGGCACCAATCACCGAGATCTTCTACCCGAGCTACTCATGACCAACCACAAACCCTCTGACAGCTTTGAGGCCTCACCAATGCATTCAATGCAATGTCTCTGTCAGCTTTAATCTTGCTTCATGCGCACGAGACAGTCGCTCCAAGAACAATCCATCATGGCAAGATTCATGAGTATGGTAAGCCTTGATTCAAAACAGTTCCCGGTTGAAGACAATGAGACTGACAACCCCAAGCTTATGGCCCAGGCCAAACAACGAAAGGAATCCAAACACACATTCTGATCACAACGCTCTTCACCACTGGGGACTTGCAACCTCGCTCAACAAGCAGGTTGCAACAGGACAAGCCGCAACCCACAAAAGCCAAAGCCAACAAAACCAACCAAAAACACACACAAAAGACAAAAGGCAACAAGTCCAAGCATCATCTAAACACCCGAAGAGAGCATTGGCAGACTATCGTGGAATCATTGAATGGAAGCACGTCACCTTGAAAGGCCCAACATGAACTTGACTTCACAACCGCGTCTTACAGCCACATCTGGCTTGGAAGGATGGATATGGAGAATATGGGAGAAGGATGGACATGGGCATGTACGAAGCAACTTCGTTTGATATATCGTTGGGAGAATTCGGGACTTTGTTTGCATTATCCAACGCTTTCACCTTGCACCGACTCTGCGGAGTCGTCAAATCTCAGCTTGAACATCGCTTCCATAGACATCATCAACGTCCATGTTACCGTCGACATTTGCTTGGGGGCTTGGCTCGATTTGTTTTGTATCTACTGGGATTTGCTTCCAGTTTATGTATTTAGAGCACTTCTGCGACATCAACATGCAGAAGTAGAAAAATGAAGACCGTCATGAAAAATGAAGACCGTCATCATCTTCATAATCACATTCTTAGTGTCTAGTTTGCTCACTGAAGCTTTTATTTGGATATTCAAATCACTAATCCTACGTTTTTAAGGGGAGACCGGCAGTATTCTTGTTGACGCTACTTCACTCACACAAGAATAGTCGCTTCTGTGGCCGTAATCTTCTTGGTGGTCTTGTCAGGTAGTCTTTTTATATTAGTGGTCCCTTTTTGGTAGTCTCCTCAGGGGGCCGTTAGATTTCTTGTATAGATATTTCTCCCATCTCAGTTTGTTGGGTAGACAGCAGAAAAGGGCCAAAAAAAGGCTTAATTTGTGAATGGACTTCCCTATGTACCAGATAGCCTTTGAAAATGTTATCATCATCATCTCCAAGACCTGTCCCTACAGTTATTGCAGCCACCATACGACCGCGTAGATTGAAAAGTCAAAAACTGAATTCTAAACTAAGTCATAAAGCAGAGACAGAATCATTAATTGATACAATCATCCGGGCGTCCATGGCAGGAAGTCCGCGAACACAGACAACAGACCAAGCAATGAGAAAGGAAAACGGTATAGAGCTCTCAAATTGGGAAAAAAGCGAAAAGAAAACACGTAGCAGGACGAAGCAAAGAACTCCCCCTCTTATTGAAACCAAAGACGATGATCACCAAGGACGCAGATCCGATATCTGAAACCCGAACCCAAACCACCCAGATCAACATCTAAATAAGGACCAACGGAACAAGTCGCTAACCAAGGGATGGTAGGAACAGCAAAGCAAGTACGGAGTATAGTCACAGATATTCGGAGCGTGTTGCAAAAAATCACAAAAGAGATGCGAGGAGCCCAACTCCGCCAACGCAGCGATCAATGGGATGACTGTTTTCCTCTGTGGATAAATCGTCTGGTGACTAAGTCCACTATTTCATCACTGGACTTGGCTGACAATTTCGCTGGCGCGACCCAGGCTCTCGACCATCTGTTGGCATTCCTTTCGTCGGCGGGTCGTGTAATCGCTCTCCTTGAGGAGTTCGTCAAGTTCATTGGTGCGGTACATGTTCTCCAGGAGTTCGCGTTGCATCTCATCCTTGGTGAATCTAGAGAAATCGTTTGTTAGTATACTCGATGATCGGCAGGGGTTTTGCACGGATGGGACATACTGGACCAGGGTGTACATGACCGCCTTGGGAACCATGTCGATCATTGTGCGCTTGACAATGTTGAAGTAGGAAGTAATCAGGAGTTCTGCGTGGGTGTTAGTGGAGTGCCACAAGGAGTCTGTATGAGGTGGTTCACTTACTGATAACCTCGACCTCGGTGGCTTCACGCTCAGACAAGCTAGCCGAAGCCTTGAGGGTTGGGGGAGGAGCCTCCATGAGGGCCATCTTCTTCTTGTTCTTGGAAGCCCAGAAGCTGCCAAAGAACCCACTGTTATTGGTAGCCTCACCGGTGGTGTCGAGCGAGGGGCTCTGGGCACGGGCTGGTCCGAGAGGCTTGCCGGTCTTGGGGTCGACCTGTGTAGGCTTGGCGGCTGTCTGACGCTCGTTGACGAGCGCCATTGCGCGGTGTCCGTTCAGGAAATCGGGGTGGCCGGTGTTTACGTACGTGGATTCCATGTTGATCAAGTCCTTGACCAGCTTGTTGGTGGGCTCAAGGCACTTCTTGAAGAAGGAAATGACGACAGCATGGAACTTCTCCTTCAGCATGGGGTAGCGGCGGAACAGCTGCTTGGTCAGGAGCTGGCTCAGGATGCGCACCAACTCGTCGTAGACGAGCGAGATACATTTCAAGCTGGGTTCTTCCAGTCGCTTGATCTGTTGCTTGACGATCAACTCGAAGGCGGTGGTGCCAACAAATAGTGCTGGTGAGGAACCGGACGAGTTGTAAAGGATAGTTCGGATGTCAATGTCTTTCACGATGTCGAAGGGATCGACAGCCTTGACACCGTTCGAGTAGAGTTCGTGGAACACAAAAGAAATACGAGCACCACCAGACAACTCGATGCTGGACAACTCCTGGTTATTTCCCTCCAAGACTGTACGGTATTCGTTGCTGAATTCAGTGATGATGTTCAGGATAATGTTGGCGCTGTTTCCGAGCATAGAGTCACCTAGTTGGGCTAGCTCTGCGGTATATTTCTGGAGGGAGGCGGAAAT